TTATCAAAAATCATTATCTCTTAATAAATAAAAAACTTATCAGTTTTGACTTCTTTATCTTCTACTTCAACACTCTCTCAATCTCTTTCTATCATTACTTATTTACAGTAATACTCTTCTTCTCTCTTTCTCTCTTCATCTTGATCTTAAATCATTCTCAGAACTTCTTCTAGTCTCACTGCTGCTGCATGAGACTCTTCACTATCTTCTTCTTCAATCTCTTACAGGCAGTGTCATCTGCATTATTTCTATACTTAGTTCAGTCTAAATCTATCAGAAGTGTTATTTAAAATTGTTATTATTCTACTCTCTTACAGAGCCTCTTTAAGGTATCATAATGTGTCTTACAATCTGTCTTCTCTTACTTGAACACCTTCTTCTCCTCTCTCTTCAATCTGTGACAGCGCTCACGCGCCTTGGTGGTTCACAGAACTGCAGAATATTTGAAGAGAAATGACATGATTGATTTCAGTGAGTATTGAAGAGAGATAAAGGCAGAAGAGACGGCCAGAAATGATATAATAATGATGATAATGATGATGATGATGATAATGATAATAGTAATAATGATGATGATAGTGATAATGATGATGATGATAATGATGATGATGATGATGATGAAAGAAGAAGTGCATTGAAATATATTACTGACTTATTAAATATAAAGAGACTTAAAGAAAATATTAACAGCTTTCAGTGATGTACAGAAACAGCTACAGTGTTGTATAGCAATATCATCTTCATTCAATACATACACTGTTGATATTCTTTATATACAGTTATTATATAATCTGTATCAGAGATACATGCAGAAAACAGATCTTTATTACTAGAATAAATGATTGCAGCAATTCTCTGTTTTCATATTATAAAGATAAGTTATTCTCATTTCTTTCTTCTCTCTTTTCTCTTCTTCAATCAATCACTAATTTCAAGCTGATATGAAAACTATTAAAACACTCTCAGAAATCCTCAAATTGAAGAGTATAGACTAATTAAATTTCAAATGCAGAAGAAATTAAATTATCTTCTACAGATTCAATTACTCATTCCTCTTCAAATAAAACAGCAGTTGTGTCCTCTTCTCCTCTCAATCAAATGAAACATGACCTGTGAAAAGCAAGTATTATGCCAGGTCATAATGACCAACACAGTCTCAGTATGCAGGGCTGCATATGCGCAGTGTGTGCTGAACTGAGAGACTGTGTGAGTTGTAAATCAGTGACAGCATCTCAGGGAGAGCTGTGTGATGTGAGAAAGTTGCAATTCTCAGCTATATATGCAGAGAGTGAATCATTGCAGTAAGTGTATGTGTATTGAAGTAATGCTTTTTGATAACACTCAGTCTCTGATATGATGAAAATAGAGTCTCTTCATGAGATCTGTTTCTATCAGAAGTCAGAGAATCTTATATTTCTCAAGATCATCTTCACACGCCTTGTCTGTGAAATTGATGAGAAAAATCATTGATTTCAGTGTTCTGCTCTTGATGTCATTCAAGTGACAGCAGAGTTCACCCTGGTCACACTTTTTGAGTGTATGTTTTCTAATTATTCACATTTATATAGATATATACTGATTATTTATTAGATAATATTAAGACAATGACTCATCACAGCTGTGTTACTCTCACTGTGAGAGATATATAATTAGTAATGAATATTGTGAAGACTCTGAGAAGTGAGTATTTTGAGAATACTGCAGCTCTGTAATCTTGATTTTTTTTTATTTTTATTTTTTGTTTTTTTCTTTTTCTTTTCTTTTTTTTTTTATTTTTCTTTCTCTTTCTATCTCTTTTTTTCTTTCTCTTCTTTTTTTCTTTCTCTTTTTTTTTTTTTTTTTTTTTTTGTTGTGATTTTTTCTTGTTGTTTTATTTTTTGTTTTTTTATTATTTTTTGTATTTTACATTTTTTTTTTAATTAAAATGATATTGATTATAATCTGTATTCAGAAAAGTAATGATATTTGATAATACTCTCTGTTGAATTTTCAACAAATAAGCACTATGTTATAATATTATGTAAGTGAGAAATGATTTCATGATCTCATTTAATATCATTTTCAATAATGAGATCAGAATGAAAATGTGACTAAGAATTCAAACATATTCTTTATCTGAGACTAGATTTTTATTTGAAAAGTGAATCTGAAATCTTTAATATTTGAAATAACAGGATTTGAGATCAATGTGATGAACACAAATTATGACCAGAAGTAATGCTTTTAGACAATGTGACAACTGTAAAGTTTGATCCTGGTCTCAGACACGGTCACACGGTCAGTCTAGTCATATGCTTATTGTTAATATATCTATCTCATAACATCAGTGTGTGCTTGATCACTAGCAATTCCTTTTCATACACTGAGTAATTGAGCTCAATGCCTGATAGTTTTCTATCATCATACATCATCAGATGCAGCTTGTCATTCTTATTCATCTGTAGAAGAGTGTCTCTGATAGCTTATTCAGATGCATTCATCTTGATGTAGAAAGATTTATCACAATCTGATTGAATAAGCACTGAGAATATTGTTACACATTTTCTCAGTGTGAGAAAGGCCTCTTCACATGCAGCATTTCAGATAATTAAATGAAACTTCTTCTTTTGCAGATTTGCATTCATTTCTCTTAAGAGATCTGAGAGTGATACTGATATTCATGCAAAATCCTTGATAAATCTGCAGTAATATGAGATTAACTTAAGAAACTGTTGTACATGATGTACATTTCTCAGCTGCAGTCAATTTACTATGATATTCAATTTCTCTGAAATGAGGTGTATACAGTCATCACTTACTACATATTCTATGAACTTCAACTCTTATGTTTCAAACACACACTTGATTAATTTGATATAGAGCTTATACTCTGTCAGAGTTGTAAGCACTTCATTAAGATGCTTCAGATATTCATTATATAAGTTTGAAAAGACTAGAATGTTATCAAGGTATATAAGACATAAGGTTTCATTCTGTTTATAAAGAATCATATTCATCATCATTTGAAAGATGACAGATGCATTTATCAGACTGAATGACATTGTCAGAAATTCAAACTTCTCTCATTGCATATTAAACACAGTTCACAGAACTGACAGTTCATCTACACAGATCTATCAGTATTCTGAGAGAAGATCAATCTTCAATAGATATCAGATGTTTTCAACTGTATTCAACTGTTATTAAATTCATGACAGTGAATATTCATTCTTGATTATAAGCTTATTAAGTGCTTGATAATTAATACACATCTGTCACTTCTCACCTGCCTTTTTCACAAATAGAACTGGAAAGCCTCACATGCTTAATAAGAGTTGTATGAGACTATATTCTAGAAGATCTGTGATCTGACACTTCTGTTCTTCAAGATACATTTGTGACAGAGAGTATGTATTCTGATTGACTGATTTTATGTCCTCTGTGTTAATCTCATGTACAAATCCTCATTTCAGCAGTAATTTCAGTAAAAGATCTGTTCAGAAGATCTTCTCATGCTTCTTCAGAAGCTTCTTCATACACTTGTCCTCTTATATATCTTTTATCTTAGTTTTCTTCACTTTCAGATTCTATATAATATACAGAATGCTTTCAGATGAGGTCTTATAAATTGTTCTCTTTACTTGTTAATATGTAAGCAGATTTAATCCTTCTATATCAGAGATGTGAAATATCCTTCTCATATCAGTTAATAGAATTGTATGAACTGTTTTCTTTCTATCAGTCAACTGCATATGACATGTACATCATTGAATCTGTGAATTGAATCTTTGAAATCAATCAAGTCTGAGAATAAGATTGTATTCCACATTCTGCAGCTCTCATGCTCAAATATGGCAAGATCATTCTCTGAAGTGCAAGGGAACACTTACTCTTACAGATGATATCAAATATCAGTTATCAGATAATCTTATGCAACAGGAATTCTTCACTCAGTGAACCTCTTTCAATCTTCAGATTATATAATCATTAATATATTATATAGAAGCTTCTGTATCTGCTAACACTTTTGCAGTCATCTCTTAATTCTTATTCAAGTATCTCTTATACATTAACATTTCAGGCCTTAAGACATTGAGATGAGCATTCACTTCATCATTCTTACTCACATCTTATTCAGAAGCCTGCTTCTTCTTTATATTTGCAGAATTCAGAGAATCATCTAACACAGACATCTCTTTCACTTTGAAGACTTTTTATAGAATATCAGTGAGTGTCTCTGAGCTCACTGATTCTGCTAGTTTTTTAACTCTCTTACTTCACCAATTAACTCTGGAAATGAACTGGATTGGAATAGATTTCTTGATTGAAATGAAAATAATTCTTCAAAGAAAATGCCGTCTCAACTGTACAGACTATGCTCTCTGATTAAAAATCAATTTTCTTCTTTAAATGTTGAAAAAGTTGATCATGAGAAGTTATCTCTCTGGAGAGAAAAGCTTGAATCTCTTATAGACTTACAAATAAGTGAACTATCAAAAGAGAAAGAATATGAACAGTATTTGAAGAGAATTTCTACAATCAATATAAAAGACTCTATTCTGATTTATTCAGATGGCTCAAAAAATGAGAACTTGAATAGATTAGACACAGGCATTGCTTATACTGAAGATAATATTAATTTTATCTCAGATTTCTGAAATCTAGGCTCTGAATGTGAAGTCTTTGATGCTGAACTATTTACAATAGTGAAAGCTTTCAAACTCATTGAAATAAAATCTCATAAAAGAGGAAATTGTTTGAAAGAGGCATGGATATTCTCTGATAGTCAAGCTGCTTTAAAAAGACTTAGAAATAGTCAGATTCATAATGATCAAATGAATCTTGAACTGATCTTAAACTCTGTTTTGAAAATTCAAAAGAGAAGAACATCAAAGCTGATAATTCATCTGCACTGAGTTCCTGCTCATATGAATATTCATGGCAATGAATTGGCTGATTCAGCTGCAAAAAAGGGTGCAGAATTAAGCAGATCTATCAAATATCACTCACCAGAGGGCAAGTCAACCGCTCCACCACGAACTCGCTCGATTTTTCGAATAAGAACCCGCCGATAGATCCATCGAAAAGCCCTCGATCATACGAGCATTTTGACCCCATCGCCGACCGCATACCCCGTGTGGTGGTGGAGTTATCCAGCCAAACGTGAACCAGACGTCGTTCAGAACTCCTGCGTGGGATTATCCCCCATTCTCCCCTACCACACCACAACCCCGGGCCAAATTGCCATACAAATTGTAAGGTGAAGAGACCTAGCCATATGCACCAATCTTCTCGATTTTGGAAGATCCCCGATCTGTAGTTGTGGAGATATCTGAGGAGCGACCTCCGCGAAAACCCTGTCCATCTTTGATGTTCCAAAACACCAACGCCAAGTCCCACCCTCGTACCGCCCTTCCCAATCTGGCCCATCCCCGGCAGAAAAATACAAAAAGATACCTCGGCGATAATATCAAGCACATAATCAACAGCCACTTCTGAAGTGCAACCTCCGCGGTCTGTCTTCAGTGTATCTAGACACTAACACCAAGTCTCACCCTTGTACCACCCCTCTCAATCTGACCCATCCCCAACAGAAAAGTACAAAAAGATACCTCAGCAACTGTACTCAATACATAATCGGCAGACACAACAACTATAAAATCAGTATATCTCAAGGTCTGACTGAGCCTTTGATCCCTGCACAGTGAGATATATTAAATCTAGTTTTAATATCTCAATATTCAATAGATTCTGCAAGAGATTGAGAACAGCAACACTAGATTTCTATTGAATTTGAGAATTAACTCTATATTGATATAATCATTGACAAAGTCTTCTATTTTGAGATATAAATAACCAGTTTCTCTACATCTCGCTGGCAATATTTATATTATCATATAGAAACAGACTTATATTCTCTATAATATCAAGACTCTGAAGAGGGAAAGTCTTGATAGAGAGTATATAGTAGTGTATATCTTAGCAGTTTCTATCTCATTCTTCTGCAGCAGTTAATGCAAAAAAAAAGATCTTAGAAATAGTTTTTTACTTCTCTTGAAAAAGTAAGGTGTTTTTCTCTGGGTTTTACACAATATTCTTACAAAGAATTAAAAACAGAGTTATTTTCTGTTATAATTTCATATTCTTTTAAGTAAGAATTACTTTTTCAGTGGCTGAAGAGCTTTCATTAATACTTAATTCTTTTTTACACTCTTTATTAACTGATTTGAGTTGCACACTTGTTGTGTGAGAAGAATTGAATGATTTAGAATAAAATTGAATAGTTTTAATTAATTTCTCTGCAAAAAATTGATTTATTTTTTGTCAGTTTTTCTCTTAAAAACTGTCATATTATCTGATTTATTATCAATTGATATCATACTTTTTCTCACTATATCCCAAGAAAGAGATGGTAAAGATTTTATTAATTTATCTTAAAAATCAATTTTAGTTTATTAGATTCTCTTCAAAAATCTAACCTAGTTACTGAACTAGTGTGAAAAAAATCAGATATTTTATACACAAAAGTCTTTTATTCTTCTTTTGAAACAGTCTGACCAACTTTTCAATTGAAAACAGACTTAGAAATATCTCAATTGAAACAGTCTGACCAACTTTTCATTGAGTGAAAACAATGAGTTCAAAAATACACTCAGCTGATGTGGAAAAAGATGCTTTCTCAAATGCTATTTCTGAGATTGAAATTCTGAAGAGAAGAAAGAAAGAAGAAATAGAGAAATAACAAGTTCTTGAAATACAGAAACTTGAAAAAGCAAGCAAGATTCTTGAAAAGCAGTGTCTGAGTGAGATGAATGAAGAAGTTCTGTTAATTCTTCATACTCAGGCTAGACAACTACAGAAGATAATCAAGTTCAAACTTGAAATCTCAAACACAGTTCAAAAAACCTTGAAAATTCCTAGTACAATCACTGACTCTTCATCTTGCTCTTCTTCTTTCTTTTTTCCTACTTCTTCTTCTTCTTTGAATTAGAAGAAAACATATGATCAAGCAGCTGAATCTGCTGTCTCTAAACCTGCTGTCTCAAAATCTGCTCAAAATCCTGAGAAAACTGAGAAGAATACTGCTCATGCCTCTATTTATAGAAAAGTAGAAAAGAAAATGCAAAAAGAGAAAAACTTTCAAATCTTCAGAAATAGAAGACTTATTCTCAAAGTCTCAAACCAGGACATTCTGCAAAGAAACAAGCTAAACTCAAATCTCATTTTCAGAATCAGAAATGAAATTAATCAGCAGTTCTTTTCTCAGTTGATGACTGATATTGAAGTTCAAAAACCAGTTATAGCTTCAATTGAGTCATCATTCTTTGAAAACTTCATTATTCTGACTACAATGCCTGAATTCAGTGCTGAATTCCTTATTCAGAATGAGAATCTCTGAAAGTCAGCAGTAGAATCTTTGTTAAACACAACAATTCTATCTGAAAGAGATGAAAAGTGGGACAAATTCATTCTTTATAATATTCCAGTTGAAATTTTTGACTGTGAAGAAGGAATACTACTTCTCAAAAATAAATTGAAAGAATACAACTCTATTCAACTGAGAAAGAAGCCTGTATGACTAAATTCAATTGAGTTCAGACAAAGCAGGAGAAATGCCTCTGTTCTAGTATATATAAAAACACTTGAACAGTCAAAGATCTCTGAAGTAAGAGTAGCAGGTTTGAAAATGAGAGTTCATGAATACAAAGACTCAAGAATGAACCTCAAAGCTCAAACACAGTGTTCAAACTGTCAAAGATATGAACACTTTACAATCTCATGTTTTAGAGACTCAAAATATGCATTCTGTGCCAGAGATCACAAAACTAGTGAGCATAAATATGAAACATGCTCAAAAAGAGATGAAATTTGTCAATATACTCTGCTTAAGTGCTCTAATTGCAAAGAAAAACATGCATCTAGCTCAAAAGAATGTATGTTTGCTTCTAGAACTCAAAAGAACTGAAGAAAAGATGAAGCTCAAAGTCAATCTAGAATTGAAGAGAAGAGTCAAGTCAGTAAACTCACAACTGCAAGCTCAAAAAGAAGAAACTCTTAACTATCTAAGTCTTCAAACTTCAATTCTCCAGCTAAATGTAAACAGAATTTGAATTCTCAAACTTCTGTTAAGATTAGAGAATTGAGAAATGACTCTGATAATAAACTAGATATAATACAAGCAGTTGAGATTTCTACTTTTCAGAACAGTTATAATCTACTATCTGATAATAGTGATTAGATTCTACTCTACTCTCTTTTAGTATGAATATACAACAAAAACAACAAAAAAAGTTTAAAAACTCTTTAAAAATCACATTTATTCAAAATAATGTGAATAGAAACTCAAATTGTATTTATTCTTATCTTCAAATTGCATTTGAATAAAAAGTTGATTTTATACTGCTTCAGGAGCTGAATTTTGATACTGAGCAAAAATATGTCATTTCTCATTCAAGCTACTACTGCTTTTTATCTTAAAAGTCTGAGATAAAGTCAAGAGTAGTGATTTATGGAAGAAAGAGATCAAGATATCAATTTAATCTAAGATTTGATATCATGTCTGACTCTGATATTCTGGTGGGTGATATTATAGATAAAGAAAATGAGTTTGATACTATACAGCTTATAAATATCTATAATGAAAAGTCATTGAAGAAAAATAACAATATCTGAATAATTGATAGAGGATTTCTGAACATAACTTCATCAAGAAACTCTATAATTGCAGGAGATTTCAATGCACATCATCTCTGATAAAATTCAGAATGCAAGAGAGCAGTGAGAGCTGATAATCTGATTAAATGAATCTTTGAGCATTCAATAGATTTGATTAATAAGTCTGATCAACAAACATTCTTTAGAAAAGACATGAAATAGAAGTCTATTATAGATCTAATCTTCATGTCATAAAATCTAATGAAAAGAAGACTTGTAAACTGGTTTATTAATTCAAATAAGACATCAGAATCAGATCATGAGATTATTCAATTTGATATTAAACTGAGTGAAAAACAAATGAGTGAAAATCCTCTTCTCTCTAATCAGTATAACTTTGAAAAAGCTGATTGAAAAGCAGTTGAAGAAAGCATAAAACTGTTAAAATCTGAAAGACAGAATGAGCTATATTGAAATTCTGGTCAAGATATCTCAAATGAAATGCTTGAGAATAGAGTGAAGCTTATTACATCTATTATTCTAACAAGTGTTAGAGATAATATTTCAAAAAGAAAATCTTCTGAGTATTTAAAACCTTGATGAAATGAGAATATCTCATCTAAAAGAAAAGAATTAGTTACTGCTAGAAGAGATTAGAAGAATGATGTAATATCTGATGAAGAGTTCAAAGCTGTCAGAAATGAATATTTTTCAGACATTAAAAAAGCTAAAACAGACTGCTGGAATAAATTTCTTGAAGAAGCACAAGAGAAGGAAGTTTTTAAAGCTTTTAACTATACTAAAACAAGAAGTGTAGCAAAACTTCCAGCCTTAGAATATGAGTTTCAGAATGAATCATATACAGCAAACTCTTTTGAGAAAAAATGTCAAGCTTTCATGAGAATTCTCTTTCAGAACTCACCAGATTCAGATTCAGATTTAGAGAAAGAGAATATATCACTTCTTAACTATATTGATGAAAATGACTGGGAATGATCTGATCTTACTCAAGATGAATTAGAGTCAGCTATTTTCTCAAGTTCAGTTAAGACTGCTGCAGGACCTGATTCAATTAATCACTTAATTATTTAAAATACATATTTCTACTTAAAGAATGAATATTTTGAGCTCTTTTTCAATCTCTTAAAAAATGAATATCATTCTGAATGCTGAAGAGAAGCCACTGGAGTGATTCTTATAAAACCTAATAGAAAAACTTCAATTTCTAAGTCATATAGAGTAATATCTCTATTGAACTGTTTAGAAAAGATTTTAGAAAAGATAATAGCTACTTGACTATCTTTTATAAGCTCTATAGATGATTCTCTTTTATTCAGTGAATAAATGAGAGATAGAAAACAGTGTTCTGCAATTGACACTGTTCTCTCAGTTGTTTATAATATTCAAATAGCAAAGTATGAGGGTCTGGTCTCAACTGCAGTTTTTATTGATATAAAAGAAGCATTTGATCATGTTTCAAAGTCAAAGTTAATTCAGATATTGAAGATATTAAAACTGTCACTTTCTCTAATAAAATGAGTTAACTGTTTTATATCTAAAAGAATTATACAACTCTTCTTTGATGAAATGAAATAAGACAAGACTGAGATAAAAATAGAAGTATCACAGAGATCTTCAATCTCACTTATTTTATTTGTAATATACACTGCATATCTATTCAAAAATAGAAATATGAGAATAGTGCAATCTCTGAGTTATATGAATGATATTGGGCTAGTCTACAGCTCAAAAACTATCAAAGAGAATTTGAAAGTAATTGAAGAAGCTGCAAAGGAAATCTTTGTTAG